TATAGTTTCTTGATAGACGAAAATATTTTAATTTAAACTAAAAGCAAATTAACTAAACATACATTATATGTGTAGTAATAATATATTGAAAATCCTTTATTTTTTCACAGGTCGGTTCAAACGATGTTTCACATGCAGGTCACGTGGTAGCCTTGGGGACTGCAGGGATCCTTTTATACTCAATAGTACAACGGTGGAGGAGTTATCAGGTATTGAAGCCTCACCATGCGCCTCAGGATGGTGTGCCAAGGTCGTTGAAGGAGAAGAAAACGGTCAGTAACATAATATCTTGAGCATCATGATGTGGGCAGCTTATGGGATTAATTATTTTAGATATATTCTGTCCAAAAGGTTCTATCTGTTGATATTTAATGTTTTAAAGTCGGTGTATATTTATCTGTTTAAAATAATGGTTATGTTGCAATTTTTGTGTTAAAATAAAATATACTTTAAAACAACATTACATGTATATCGAACACATGACTACAAACTCTCCTAAAGATTTCTCACCATTCCGGTTCGTTCTAGAACTTTGGTTTTCTTTTCTTCTTAGATGTATTTGGAAAAACCTTCTGATAAAGAAAACAGCCAGGTCCCATTCTACCTAATACATTTGAAACAGAACGATATAAGACCATTTCTACAAATCAACAAACTAATGCTGTGCGTTAAACATCTTAGTTTTATTTTAACAGAGATTGGCCTTCAGAGTTCACGGACCATCAGTGGATTGCCAGATTGTCTTTCACTGCTAAGTTAGGAACGGCTAGCACAGATAGCCCTCGTGTAGCTTTGCGTGAAATTCCAACAAACCGATACACGGCGTGTTCCTGCGGCAGGGTTTCAAACTTAGGGGATTCCTCAGGTTAGAGGAGATCTCTACTTCTTTCCCGCGTGGTAGCAAATTCAGCTGCTTGTAATTTAAAACAGGGGTAAAATATCAGCCTGTTTATGATCTAATAAATAATTCCACTACCGGAGAGTGCGCTAGTACTTTTTATGTAGGAATGCACGGACGCCGGTATTAAAGCAATATAAAAGCCATCTGTAGTTTCTTCGCTATAGGTCATCAGAAGCTAGATATGAAGAGCTACTTGGCATAGTCGCTCTATCTCCGGTGTATATGCCGCTTTTCAGCAATCCAGAGCGTCTTAAAGTCGAAAACCGTTCATCATCATCATCTTTCTTCAACAGGCCTAGCGCCTATATAATTCTAGCAGTAACTATAATTTTATCATCGTTTCATACAGCAAAATAGTCTTCACGACCTTTGACTACCTATTATATTATTATTTCACGCAAAATGTATAAAGCTTTAGAATATACACTCTATAACCTAATAACCCTTGTACGCCATCTTATAAAGAAAGTAAACAAACAAGTTTAAGGAAAATAATTATCGCTAAATAAGAAAAGCTTCGAGAATTTATTAATGCTGTCTCTGTTGTAATCTTAAGGATTAAGTTACGATAAATACTGTAAAACTTCTGCTAGAATATACTCCTTATGGTAATTTTTGTGACAAGGAAATGACATTTAACACAAATATGTCTACGTCATCTGTGTAATGTCTGACATAACATTTCGAGAAGTCTTCACGAACCTGCACAGGTCCGCGGGTGAACTGAAAAAAATAAATAATTTCTATGCAGGTGTAAATATAAGTGTCATAGGCGTGTTGCGAAGGTAGTCCCCTCCCCTAAAAAAGAAAAACGGTATTAAAATAAAGTATTTAGTGATTTCTGACAACACATTTTGCCGTTTAAATGGTGCTCAAAACTGTTGATTTGTTCACAGAATTAGAAATACGTATATAAACTGAAAATAGTAACACGCCCTGCATTTTTCACACCCGAAACTTAATTTTTGTTACTTTTAGTTTACATTATAAAGTTTGTCTTATATGAAGTGGTTTTGGTCGTATTTATTCTATATTGAGGAGCACAAAATATCATGGAGCCTGTTGGCAACTATGGGATGACAGTTTCTTTAGAACTAACACATAATTCCAGAAAATTACAGAACTTTGTATAGACATAGCTATCTATCTGACAGCTCATTCCTCCTTCAGTATAAGGATACAAATTATCGCTAGATAAAAAAGCTATGTAGGGCTGGCTACTGAAGTTGAAAAAAAGGAACCAGATAAGATAAAAGTGGACATATCACTTGATCCGGCTAATAATCACATGGCAGATTAAGCTGTCCCGATTTTACATGGAGAATATAATCCCTACATTAGTGGCCTCCTCATTAGCAAATCAAATAGAACCAAAATTTCCAGTCGTAAAGTGTTAGTCTATTGTAAAATAGTCATAAAAGTAGTGTTCTAAAGTTAACTAAAGGAAAGGTATAATGATGAAAGCTGAGATTCTATTCAAACACCAAGCTTTCGGTAGATAAAGAAACAGAAAAAAAAGCACATATTTGTAATTAATGGAAGTGTATTTCTTATAATTGTCGAGATACTGATTCCTTGAAATCAATTCGCTTTGGTAATTAACGAAATATCTTCGTATTCGTAAACCTATATCATATAAGCCCCTCCTTCTGGCTTAGGGATAAGTCTGATGTCTTATAATTCTAAAAATCGGGTTTTGATACGGGCGGTGGGCACATTGTAGATAGCCCATTGTAGTTTTGTATTTAACGGCAGATTTTTTTTATCGTATATAAACACACATGTGTTAGTGAGTGAGTGTTTTACACTGAGAAATGGGCTTGTCTTGATTTTGTTATACTTGAACATTTTTAGTTTTTTTATAATCTTAGGTAATTTTTCTGGATTTAACCATAATATTATACCTGAACCTAATTGAAACCAAGCTTACGAGCAGATTGTATCGACAGATATTGGTTTGCAGCGCCAGCATTTATTGTTAATGTTTGTGTAATTACGCATCAGAGTCTTCCGAAATGGGCGTCATATCTGATACGATGTGTTCCTATAACTCAATGGATCCAGTTTTTGCATCTTTTTTTTACTAGGACACACATTTCACCGTTCACATCCTTTAACTTGTGCTCTGATTTTAAATGTACGTTTTATAATCGGCCCGTTTATTGAAATTAGCATTTCTTCGCAAATACGGAAGTTGTTAGTGTATAACTTTTAGTACATTCATTCACTCACACATACGTATAATATGTACAGATAAGATAAAACACCTTCTCAGACACAGCACAAAATAAAAATTGTTGCACAAGAAAGATATAGAAATAAGATTAGGATATAAGCTGCATTGTGGGAAGGGTACAATGTACCTTAGAGAGATATCTCGGAAATAATATAACAAAGCTTTAGGGTTACACCATTTATCAGCTTTAACCTCTATTCACACGTCTCGCATGTGATACGGCCTCAGATAGGCGATCTTTCTCACAACGTCATTCATCTAAAACTACCATTTACCGTCTGCAGCCAGATACGGTAACAAGGAGCAAGTGTTACATGTGCATAAGAACGAACTGTATTTTTTTCCCTACCTTATCTACGAACAGTAGAGATTACTTGGAGTTTGATGTTACAAGATAAACCTACTGAATCTTGAACTGAATATTTATTGCATTGAAACACTGTAGTGGAAGCATTCAGCTGTTTAGGATAAAATTACCTAAATCTTAACGAAATCATAGAGTTTGTTTTTAATAAAAAAAGATTAAGGATTATGAATTTATGTTTTTCTATGCTTGTTAAATTTATTAGTTGTTTGTATCGTGTCTTTTTTTCCTTTTACTAATATACAAGTTGCCATTTCTGTCTTTGTATTAAACTAGTTTAATTTGTACAATACAGCAACTCAATGCAACTTATTCAATTGTATTTTGATTTTTTTTTAACCAGATTTCGACGTTGCTACTGAACGATTGTGCTTGCAAAGACCGCCACAAGATAGCGAAGAGAGATGTGCCGACACAATTTACGAAGATCGACGAGTTTTTATGTGTTTTTGTCGGGGGGACTTATGTAATAGTGGAGTAACAATCACCCTGGGGATGATGGTCCAGCTTTCTGTGTTCCTAACAATCATCACCTGGTGGAAGATCACTTAACGCGTTTTAATCACCATATGAGCTCAACAATAATATTTGGAGTCGGATAGCTTTTTCAATAATTTTTTTTAATCATATTAAGTCTCTTTCTTTTTGTCTTTGAAAATTTAACTAATCATACGAAATTAAACTTTTATAAGACACTTTTCAAGTCTAAAGCGGTCAGTATTTTTTATTTAGAATAAGTACTCTAATTAAGGTTAGCATGCATTTTTTTCTGTCCTATTTTATTAATCGTGTGCGCTATATTGAACATATTCGAGTTTTTATTTTCCACAGAATATTTCGTTGCACACCAACTCAGAAATACAGGTTACTGTCAAGGTCAAGGCAATAAGAGATAAAATCGCAAAGTAAGGTGAAATGACTACAAACTATTTGTTTCGCTAACGTTAGGAATAAATTCCTAAAAATATCGAATGTCCAGAAATTACCAAGAGTATGTTTCGATAAAATCTTATAAATGTGGAGCTGAAGTGAGACGAAAATTAAGGGTTAAGGGCGATTGGAAGGTACAAAATAGATACGAAAAATAGCGAAGGGGGTACTATTACTATGTAGTGTAGAATTTGAATATTCTCAATTTATTTTTTATTCAAATGGCTTGTAATTTTCAACATTCTGTGATATATTGTTATAGAAATGAATATCAAGATATATATATATATCACAATGTTTTGTATTATTAAGAAGTGCAGTTATGAATAAAGTTTGTATGCAACAGAAGAACCATCTATCTTGATAGGTATGTGAACATAACACATATGTAATATTTTGTTTAATTCTTTCTAAAGCAAGAAAACCAACTACCAAGTTTTATCTGATTAAATAGTTTCGGCAAGTTTCTTAGAGTTATACCGCGTGTAGTTTAAAAAGTTGGCTCCAGTTAGTTTAGTATTTATTTAATAGCAATAGTTTCAGTATTAGCAGTTTTATAATTTACTTACACTAAACTAAAATTTTTCCCCGATAAACATGTTTCAATTAGTAAATGGCTTGACGTTTCTTCAGAAAGTATCACTTTTCACTCGCTATGCTAAGAACTACATAGTTTGCTTTCACTTGACTCCTAAACTTACTACGCTAGCCCATTGTGTAGCTTTGCGCTAGTCCCCCCCCCCCCAAAAAGACTACTAAAGATATTGTTTATTCAAATTGAGTTTGGTTCTCCTACCTCATGTTTTTCATAAAGATATGAAATATTACTTTAAGGACTTAATGGATATGGTGCTTAACTCCCAGTTTGCGGGTTCGATGCTTTAACACACCGAACATGCTCACACTTTTAGCCGTGGGAGCATTATAAAGTGACGGTCAATCCCACTATATTAATTGGTAAAAGTGTTGGCGGTTGGTGGTGTTGACTACTTGCCTTCCATCTAGTTTATTACTGCTAAATTACGGACGACTAGCACAGATATCCCTCGTGTAGCTTTACGCGAAATTCAAACCAAAATTTAGTTACTTTTAGAACTATAATATCCAAAGGAGGAAAAATTTGACTCGTTAACAAAATTATATATATATACATGTATATAGTGTCCAGTAAGTGTGGCATTAAAGTAATTATTTCGTAGTTTCTACTAGTATATACACTTGATGGAAAGGGTGGAATTGACGTAATTTATTCAGGGACCTTTTTTTTTCTTTCTTTTTTTAACAAAATTTACCTAAAATACCGTACTAACCGAAGCTAATGTGGCTTCCATATGAATCATGAAATAAAGTTTTATAGTCGATGCTAGAAAAATCGATGTTCAGTGGTTATTCATCGTTGTTCGGAAGAGTTTCGTAAAGATTTGATTTTGACTGATCTCTTAGAAACTAGTGGCACAACATCGGTATAATCTTCCAGAAAAACGTCTAATGTACCGCATGATTTACTTGTACATTTTTAATTGTTTTTTATTTTTATGTCCCCTATAGTTTACGATTTTGGATAAACTATTACAAATATCTGAACCTTAATAGGTCTTTATAATAACTTATGGATGAAAGTGAACAACAATGTATATACTAACGTTTTGTGCATTTATAAGCTTTCGGGAAATGACGGCTATATTTATGTATTTTTAGCAATAACGTTTTCCATTTGTATAGTTTGGTTTAAACGTATTATTGGTTATAAACTTATAATAAAAAAAACTTTAAGTAATAACCAGATTTATGATATTATTTTGCATTGTTGACTTACGTAACTAAGACAAAACTAAATCTTTTGAGTGATATTTGGTATTACGCCCGAAAATATCGTTAAGAGAGAGAGAGGGAACCTAACGTATGTTTCAATGCAATTTGAACACTATAATTAAATTTTCATGTGTTGATTTATAATATTTACTATTTGTAAGCAGTTTGTTATATTGGATTGTATTATTTCTGCCCTATTTAATTAGTTTAGTCTTAATCATATGTTCCTAAAGATACAACTTATAATAAAAAAGAAGATGAGCGTTAAGCCTTTTCACTTCAACATCATTTAGTAAAACTGCGTCTTCCAAGTAATTTATATAAATACTTCATTATAAAATATCTAAAAATCATACGAAAGGTAAGTGCTGACTCTTTGTATAAACTGCCTGCATGTTTCTCTCTTCTCATAAGCTGAGTCAGGATGGTCTTCCACTTGTGATTAACAGAACAAGTCTTCAAGAAACTCATCACCATTGTAAAGTTTAAGTTTGTCCATGTATTCAATGCAGTTACCCGCATCACGTGACTATTGTAACTCATTGTTCACCTCATTGAGTTGTTGACGAATAAAATATGGTCCAGTTTAGTCCAGCACAATAGCCAAATCCAGTCATCAGGATTGAACTTTCGTTCTATTACTGTATTTTTCTCTAGCATCTCATTTGACTCATAGCCACTTTATACATAAGATTCAACTATTGCAATATCAAGGAACTCGATGTATCCACACAAACACTGTAGTAAGTTTGTTCTGGATTGAGGATCATACACCAGATCTAGTGGAAGCTGTAATTCTTCTCCATGCATAAGAAGATTTAGAGAATAATTAAACAAATGATGCTCATTTCTATGGTATGCCATCATGATATATGGTAGGTGATAATCTCAACTGGCTTGATCAGGGTTCATTAGCTTAGTAAGTATACATATCCACGACAAAACAGTGAATTTATATCAGATATTAATGCCAGTGATAATGGAATTGGAGTAGTACAATTGCAGTTGAAGGATGGAGTGGAACATGTAATCATATATGCTCATGGCTCTTGAGTGCTCATACTGTAAAATGAAGAAAGAACTGTTTGCACTATCACTACTACTCATATGGTAGAAGATTACGGGTGGGCGATGATTCACTAAAAATGGTTGATTAATTTTAAAAATTTAGAAAGGATGATAGCATGCTGGAAAACAATGTTGCAAGGATATGACTTTATCATAGTGTAATGTTTGGACATGTAACATGGAAATAGGCATACAATATCTTATTACACAATAAGATCATGCCCATTTGTGGAATGTCTTGATCGTTGACAGAATGTGGAAATTGAGATCATTTCCACTACAACAATGTGAATCCATGGAGTAAGATATTCCACTAATTCGTGGATTCCATGGTTATCACTTTGAGAGTTCAGAATTTGCACCTAAAGGACCCATTTCTGGAATGGTAGCTCTTTATTGTGCAGCAGGGTAAAGCCCAGCCAGCAAAGACAGAGGAATTTAGCATAGATGCACGTAACCTGAGGCACCTGTGTGATCAGTTATGAATGTAGGAACGCATAGGTATCATCACTATAAACCACTGAGCCGTGGTTCTCAAACTGTGCTCCAGCTACTGGTCCCCAGAACTTTAAGGTAAGAGATTCTTCAGAATTTGCATAACATAAAGATTGGAAGGCATCAAGGTATTACTCGCACTTGTGCTACCATTCAATGGTGGTTCTTCTGGCCACATCCAAGTTAAAATATTTGATACTGTTATGAATACTATATGTTGTGTGCTATCCAGAGACAAAATGGCTGAGGCAGAGTAAATTCCAAAAGAGAATTGTTGGATCCCCTCTGCAGAGGATACTCTGATATATAGCTGGTCTACTCCTGACTAGTAAGAGCTGTCACCAGTGAATACCTATTGCCATCAGTGTGCTGAGGCTTGTCTATTGATTGATAAATTGACACAGTCTATAGCTAGTGTGTTTGGGAGCACTGGATTGTACAGTCTGGAGCATTGGAAGGGATCCACATGAATCAGGGAACTAATTTCAACAGCCAATGATTCTCTGAATCGTGTAAAACATTAGCAAGCATCCATTTGTTATTTCTCATTCTCCTAAATAATCAGAATAGGTGCAATAAGGCAAACCGCATGTTTTCATCATATCCGAGTCTGTTAATCACTACCAAAATGACTGTGAAAAGCACTTACTATACGTTGTGCTGACATACAAGGCAACAGAAAAAAAGTCTACACACTATTTGTTGAACATGTTCATGTTTAAGTGGGAAGTACTGGTATACCTCGACCAGGCATCCCACACTGCCACAGGAATATGTAGAGTAGCTTAGGTATGCATTAGTAAATGTACATTTTTGTCCATTAAAAATACGGAAGATCACCCAATGTCAGAAGAAGTGTTATCAGAAGATGGTGAAGGAATGGATGTACCAGTCAAGATATTGTTTTTGGCTGTGGAATGAGCCAGGAGCACAAAATTAGCTCAGATCCATCTGGATAAGACCATATCTCATGCTCTAGCTGATTGGTCCATCGATGTAAAGTCAAACTAGACTCAAAATATGCAAATAAAATGCATAAAGCTCATTAATAAGCTGTACTTATATGTCACAGACAAGTATCTCATGGACTGGCTTGACTAGGAGTCTGAGGTTGAGGTCAATGAGCTGGAGAAGAATGATGATGTTATTTCAGTTAATGAGTAGGAAAGAGCTGAAGGTGTTTATATGGCTGTCCACAATAAGCCAGATGAGAACATGCTGGAGTCAGAGGTGAAAGATATATCTGACAGATGGCCAAGCCACTGCCAATAGCCTACTGATCAATATAGATTGGACAAGCAGATCATTAAAGCTAGGATTGTTACCGATTAGAACCTCTGACTGAAAATAAGTGGCATTCCTTGCTTTCCAAGTTATCAAGTAATGTTCACAGTACAATCTATGCATTAAATTGTCCAATATCCTTTTGATTATTAAACTGTTAGGATAGTTTATTGATTGGGAGATTAGTGGGACCAAAGTGGCTTAATCATCCTTGTTTGCTATACTATTGAGCAGAGTTTTACTAAAGGATGCCCACCAGATAGGAGATAATAGCTGTTTGATTATTTCAAAACTAGGTTGGTCATGCAGTTGAAAAACCCTTGCTTTTTTGAACCACAAAATGAAATTTTCTGATGCAAAACTTCATTCAATCTGTCATTACACACCATAATTAGTTATGATTGGTTCATTACTATGAATTAATATTTTATTAATTACAGGTTAATTAAATGTATGATTAACGTGTAAATGATATGCAAATTGAATCAATTAATATCTAATTAATTAGGTTAATGCCTTCAAGGATATATATTTACTTCTGGATCCAGAGTCCCATATTAACTACTGTAGCTGGTGTATCAGACATTAAAGAACTCATTGCATCTATCACCATATTGACCCTAAAGTCACTTGAGGCTTAGCGGTCCCTATCAGTAGAAGTAGTTCTCATAAAGTTTAAGTTTTCACTGGATGTAGTGGTAA